CATAAAGATCACGGAATTCAATTGTATAACTTTAATGACTGTTTTTTTTAACCTGCTCTGCAGAAATTCCATGTGTGGAAAGTTGCAGTGTGTCAACGTGGACCTCAGCACCATCCCTTTTGGTGCCACAGTCAGTATTGAGGACATTAACAGATCAAAGTGTATTAATGCCGACTTCAACCTCGGCACTGATGTGCTAGATCCGGCCTACGTCAACTCTGGCAGCCCTTGTGAGGAAGGAAAGGTAAGTGTTCACGCCAAGGTAGGATTGTGACCAGGAACAAATGTGATTATACTTGTTCCAGTACAGAACAGTAATGTGGGAGTGGACACAATGACGCCAAGTGATTCATTTTGTTACACCAATACATTATAATTAGTATTCTCTCTCAGACCTGCATGGACTTTAAGTGTCAAAATGCCTCTAATCTGAGGCCCGACTTGGACTGTGATGCCCAGACCACCTGCAACGGCCGAGGGGTGAGGCAGCATTTTTATAAAAACAAATTCCACGCCCATAATAACAGGTCTGACTCGGCTGTTATATCGTGTTCTCCAGGTGTGTAATGACCAAGGACACTGCCACTGTAAAAATGGGTGGGCCCCGCCTAAATGTGACAGATCCGGGCGAGGTGGCAGCATAGATAGCGGTCCTGCTCAGATAGGTGAGTGTATATCATCAGTCTGTACACACAAATTCAAAGGCACTATGCAGTTCACCTAACCTGTCCCCAGTTAACTCTGGTCATTCTCACAACAACTTCCCTCAGTCCCTCACTCTTGCCTCAAAGTCCAAGGTGACAAAGGTTGTTGCGGCACCCAGGCCACCATCAAGTTTTAAATCAATTTGACAGACCCTTAAATTCAGCAGCCCCAATAGCTTTTGTCAAGTTCCCTCTTAACTTATTTCCAATGTATACTGCTTTTCTTTCTGATGTACTGTAGATATCTGATATTTTTACCTTTTTTCTTTTAGGAAGGTAATAAATCATGAAATATTCCTTTTCATGCACCTTTTTATGTATTTAACTACCTGTATTGAGGCAAATATTCACCCATCTCCACTTTTGTTGAACTCCTAATGTTTTAAAATGTCTTTACTTAAATGCCACATTCAAAATTGGGGCAACATTTGGAAGTCATCTTTAAGTTATTTAAATCATCACCTGATACACAGTAATCTAATACAGTATAGTCCTTTAAAAGGCTTCATATTACTCATATATTAATCATTCTGTCTTCTGCCTGCATGACTCTGTGGTTCCTTATTACGTGTGTTGTCATGTCGCTCAGATTTGAGTTTGTTTTGGTTTTGGAACATTTAAATAATATTGAAATTTCATCATTATCTGTCATTAGAAATAAGACAGTGTTCATTCAATGTCATCACTTCTCATGCTGTGATGCTAATAATGAACTACAGAGAGTCAGATATTTAAGCTGTTATACTGTCCTTAGATATAAATGATACATCTAAGCTGTTCTTTTTGCACCCTGCCTCTACTCTTAGGTATTAATATAAGTGGTGTCTATCATATTCTTGTAGTGTCATGTTTGGGGAGGGGGGGGGAAATATCCTGCGAAGACGAAAAATAGCTGATGTTATCTGATAGGAATACATGTTGACTATTTGGTGTAACTAAATACACTGTTCTAATTGTTTTTCACCTTTCCCGCCTCAGACCACTCCCTCCGAGACGGCCTGTTGATCTTCTTCCTGTTGGTCGTTCCTCTTCTGGTTCTTCTGGTTCTGGTGCTGCTCTACTTCTTCAGGAGGGACTCCCTGGACCGGTGTCTTAATAGAGGCAAAAAGTAAACATCAGCTCACATAAAGATGGATATTTTAAAGTCTACAGTTGCAAAGGTTTATATATTGCTGAATATATTTGTGCTTCTCATAAATGTTTCGCTTTCTTAGATCACGTGATGCTCAAAGTGGAAATGGGCAAGCAAACGGAAATGTTCCCACAAGTGCCGCGACACAGCCTCAAGTACAAGCTCCTCCTGTGGGGGTAAATATTTGTTATTTTTCTTGATCATCATCACTGTAGGGAAAGCAGTGCATTGTTAATTCAACAGTTGAAAATGTGTGCAAATAGAAAAGAGGTACATTTATCAAAATAAGCAGATGTCTAAATGTATATACTTTTTTGTGAAAAATTTATAGAGAGTTGATGATTATTATATGGGATAAAAATATACTTTTAATTGGAACAAACTCCTCTTTGGGCTTCTGAATTTAACTTCTACACATATATAAAAAGAATGCTGATGAAATCATGTAATAGAAAGACTCATCTACACCAGGCTTGAGGAATTAGAATTTGAGATTCGAATTCGAATTTGTGGAAATGTACATTGTCATGAAAATCTATTCCTTCATTAAAATCTATTTATCATTTATATCTCAAATAAAAAAACATACAGTTCTATTTTTGTGTTGTGTAATTAGATTGAAGAATTTTGAAAAGATGGGTCATGCTGTAAAAGTAAACAAACGATGACCGTGGTTACTGCAGACTTGATCCAGAAAAGGAAACAAATCTCAGAAACAAAAGAGGTGAATGTTTTGGTTTCAGAAATGCAGATTTTAAGTAATTTGTTCTTCTAATTCCAGCCTGGACAACCACCAGAAACCTCACTTCCAATTTCTGGGTAAGAACATTTTTATGTCAATATTACCTTCATACACAGGTGGCTATTAGAGCTTTTTATTCAAAGGAATGCCTGTATAACCGGTCTAACAGAATTGTCACATAACTTGTTAGTTTTAGGTACGGAGAACTGGATTATTGGAATGACGCCTCAAGCTCTGCCACTGCAAATACCCCAGCTCCCATACAGGGCCCCGGAGTCCCCAGATCAGTCCCACCCAGGCCACCACCACCAAGTTGATCTGCTTTTTATACTACATAGTTTTAAATTGTATTGTGAATGTATGGAGTTTACCATGACTCAACACTGTATGAAAAGACATTTTAAGAACAAGACTCATTTTGACTTGCACCTCTTTTAAGTTTGACTGTAATACTTTGGTGGTGGATGAGGCTTGTAGACAAGTTAATATTTATTGGAATATTACAATATTTTTTGATATATCACCAAACATTTTGTATTTTATATTGGATATGTATTAAAATATTATAAAGATGTTGTGAATGTTACAAATAAAGAAATGTATCGGGGCATTGCTTCTCCTTGATTTGCATGTGTTGACAGTTAAGACACTTAGCTGTGTGCTCTCTCAGAATAAAGAATGACTTAAACCAACAATCATGCTTTTTGGCATTGATCACCTGCACAACTGCTTTTCCAATGAGCTGGTTTGAAATTATTCATTTTTTAAACTGAGATCTGACAGTCATTGAACCAGTGCTTCTGAATCTTTTTTCAGCTGTGACTCTTAAGTCATTTCTACCAGCGACGTGCGGTCAGGGGAGGCAGGGGAGGCAGAGCCTCACCTGTCATACTCCAATGTAACGGAAAAACAACTAAAGACAAACGAAATAGTAATAATAATAAAATGTCTCCACTGATCTGTGTTGTAAGTGGGATTTATGTATGATTCCAATCGCTTTTTATAGTCAAAATCAGCAAATTTGCCGAGCTCCGCTACAACTACGGGTAGCGATGAGAAGAGAGGCAGGGACGAGCTCTGCCTCTCGTAAACCCACAGTAACTGGCTGGAGCGCGGGCACTAATTTAACGCGGGCACTAATTTTGTGAGCGCGCTCAAGCCAGTTACTCTGGGGTGAGGTGAGGCACAGATGAGCTCTGCCTCACCTCAGAATGCGTCACCCCACAGAAACTGGCTGGAAAGCGGGCACTAAGCGCATGCCTGCACCATCTCACTGTATGTCACCAATGTAATGTTTGTAGATCCCTTTATTACATTTATCCTCGCCATCCATAGTCTCTAAATAACTTATTTCACGTATATATGATATTTAGGCCCGCTGGTCTCATCATACAACGGCAATGAAAAAAGCACCAGGAGAGGCAGCCATAACCTCTGCCGCACTGAAGGGGGCGCAAGTGAGCCCACAGGTTCTTGTTGCTACTGTTATTCTACGCAGAGACGGTAGACAACAAACTAGACTTTTGAAACTAGAAGAAGATAAGGAGGACTTTTACAAAAAAGTAATAGAGATTGTTGTCCAGAAGGATAGCATGGACTTCATCTTCAAGTCAAGGTAAGACCACAATTGTAATGAACATGGGATCTTACTAAGAAAGAACAATCCAATATTTAGATGTTGGGTATCCTTTTGTTGAACAGTCTGTTTAAAATGAATCGAAGCATCAGACTAAAAAAGCTTTTGAAAATAACCGAATATTTCGATTAAGGTCAAAATATAATATTTGTAAATCTGACAGTGCCTCACCAGCCGTGAACCTCACCGCACGTCACTGATTTCTACCTACCTTTAACCCCTCACCATAGCCTCAGTATCGACATTAATTGTTAGAAGCACAGTCAAAGGGACTTTCCTTCTTGTGTTGTTTCATTTGAAGGCTTTTTAAAAGGTGAAAAATATATATTTCAAGATGAGAAAAAGCAAACATTTTTGTTTAAGAAGCATAGAGGTTTTTTTTCTACAAAATGTAAATTACCTAATTTCCCATTATATGCAAATATTTATTTCAATCACATGACCACACTTTCCATCTAGTACACCTGTAAATTAGCCTAATTTAACATATAACCTCAATTAAGTAGAACTTTCTCCCTTTGCCTTTTATTTTGAAAGGATTTCGGCTGGAAATGTAGTGTTTTGAGGTCGAAGGATGCGGAAGTTAGCTGTCAACTGCAACCACCCATAGCCACAACATATGCAACAATTGATTTCAATCACATGACCATACTTTCCATCTAGTACACCTGTACATTTGCCTAATTGAACATATATAACCTCAATTAGTAGAACTTGCTCCCTTTGCCTTTTATTTTGAAAGGGTTTTGGCCGGAAGTCACATGTTTACTAGTGTTTTGAGGTCGAAGGATGCGGAAGTTAGCTGTCAACTGCAACCACCCATAGCCACAACATGTAAAAAATATTAACTTTAAGGCGGCAGTCTGGTAGCTCATGGCAGCGGAGGAAGCCGGATGTTTGTCCCGGACTCCGGCCTGCCTGTGTGTCCTTTGCGGGCTCCCTGCTGCCGGGAAGTCCTTTCTGGCCGGCAGAGTCCTCCGCTCCGCTGCACAGCGCGGCTGGAGAGCCAGCGTTGTGCCGTATGATGACCTGATCCCCGAGCAGGCGTTTCAGACCAGAGGGGAGGAAGACGGTGTCAAACTGCAAGAAGTAATAAAGATGGATAAGCTTCATTGGTCCCATAACCCCCCCAAAAAAACATGTAAAGTGCCATGTAATGACATTGGTTTCCAAAACTAGTAGAGTAGTATTCTTGTATTACAAGAATAATACGTTTATTAACGATTTCAAGGGTACGATAATAGATTACACAGAAAAAGAGGAAAAAAGGCAACATTTTTGCTGGTTTGTTTTACATTCAACAGGAACTTTGGGTTTCGGATTGTTTGACAACTCAGGCTCTGACATTGTATCGACCAAACGCTTACTAAGACACATGTAGTCACTGAAAAGTATGATAGGTATTTTCATCCTTTTGGTTTTAGTTTTGTCCATAATGAATTGTGCCATTACAATTTCATATTTCCAGCATGCATTAAAAAGGTGTCATTGATTGACTCTTTCCCTCTCTTTAGCACACTGAATGGAAGTTACACAGACAGGCAGTTTTGCAGTGCATCGAGCAGTTCTTGGAGAAACCTGGAGTTTTGGCAGAGCTTCCGAGCAGCTGTCAGATCAACAGGGCAGCATGGAATCAATGCATCCTCCCTCTGATACAGCCTGGAGCTGAGGACCGCTCACAGGCTGACCGGGCACCACTCCTCTTTCTACTGGATGACAACTTCTACTATCCAAGCATGAGATATGAAGTGTACCAACTTGCAAGAAAGTGTAAGCACTTTCTGTCTACAGCATAGACTGCTAAATGAACTGTTGTGAAGGGCAATACTGGTAGTTTTGCAAGATTTAGGCCATTTAACTAATTTGAATGTTTTTTTTTTAGATTCGCTGGGTTTCTGCCAGGTGTATCTGCAGTGTGATGCGGAGTCCTGCATCAGCAGAAACCAGAGCAGGTCTAAACCCATTCCCACTGAAGTGATATTGGACATGGTGAAGCGCCTGGAGTCTCCAAATCCACAGAAGAACTCATGGGAGACTAACAGCATTTCACTCAACACCACAGATGATTTGTCCGAATGTGACATGTAAGACGGCAGAGTTATTACCACCAATTACTGTATTTCAAAAACATAAATAAGTATTCATTTGTTGCCATTTCTTTCTCTGTCTGGCTTGTACTCAGGCAGAGGGTGATGGAGTCGATCTCCTCGGCCCTGAGCAACCCACTGAGCCCGGCTGAAGACAACACAGAACAAAAGGTACGTCATCGTAATAATGAAAGCAAATGATGCCACTTTACATGCGTTTGTGTTGCAGTAAGGGCTGAACAATTAATCAAAATGGTGCAGAATAGCCAGTAGTTTCGAAAAGCAGGACTTTATTTGTTAAATGCATGTGTACCAAGAAACCTTTTAAATTAAGTTGTTTCATGCTTCAGAGATACCCCGGCCTACAGATCATAATCTACAGACTTTAAGAAAACGTTTTCCCTCCTACCATGATCATAAAGTTTGACAAAGAAATGAGAATAATGTTAAAATCATAATCATCTGTCAGTATATTCGCCTTAAGAGTTCAGCTCTTTTTGTGGTCTCATGCTGTGCAGGAGGCAGACCGCCTGAAGTGTGCCTCTAGTGTTGTCCATCAGACTGACCAGGCCTGTCGACGCCGTATATCTGAAGCCATGAGGACTGCCAGAGGTCAGTTGTGTGTGAGCCTCATTATTAATACCACACATTTCAAATAGTGTGTCAATTGGAGCAGATTGTCGTGGCTTCCTTCCTTGTTTTCTATCAAGCCACTCGACGCCTTAAACAGACATTTTTAACTATTTTTCTTTCCTTTATATTTGTGTTACTTACAGTTGATGAGTTGCTTGGCCTCCGATGGTTTGGATGATATTATGCAATGGGTTTGCTCAAAATAAAATAACAAACTTTTACACATGTAACAAAGAAAAGAGGCCTTTACAATAGTCAAAACAAAGAGGCAAAACTCAAATATAATAACAAACAACTTAGGTATTGTTTTTTGCTTTCTTTCTTTGTTAAGGCTTATATAACTTGATAACTTAAAGGGTAATTGAACGGTTAAAAACTGTGCCTCGAAGGCGTCTTTCTGCCCATCACTGTCACTTTAGAGGAGGAGCCGTGGGAATTGTAGTCTTTTCTACTCTGGTTGACTACAGACGTCACGATTAGGTGGCCTTTCTTATAAAAACTAAAATACTGTCTCCAACACAAATTGTTTTGATAATTGTGTCCCCTTAATTCCAGAGAATCAAGTCGCCCCTGAGCACATGAGGTCTTTGGCCGCTCAGCTGAACGAGTCTAAAGCAACGTTTCTTCACAACCTGCGGAGACAGTTCCTAGAGGAAGCGTCTTTCACCAAAGAAGAGGACATTGATGTGGAACGTGTGGTGGAAAGAGCAGTGGATGTTTTTGATCACGAGAAAAAAGAAATCCTGTTGAGAATCATAAATGAAAATAAATGATTTGAACTTGTTTGAATTTTCACAAAGGCAGATTTAATCGCTTCAAAAACACAAGTAAATGCAAGACACTGTAAATATTTCATGTTCATTAAATGTACTTTTGCTGGTGATTGTGGCACTAAGTCAAACAAAGACAATGTATTCCAATTTACACATCACTGGAATATGGGGTCAGTAAACAAATGCTATACTTATGACTAAAGAGATAAAACCCATTGAGCTCAGATGTTTACTTTCTGTTCATACAAAGATAATCACAAACAAACAAGTTACCCTGTCTTAACTTTAGACCATGATTCACACAATGAGAAAGCTATTCATTCAAATATAAATTATTATTACGTCACATTATATCTTGGAGTCACAGAGACCTCAACAGTGTCTTAACATCTACTATACACAGCAGCTAGTGAAATTAGATTTGTCCTAAAATGTGTAAGAAAAAACTACTAAATAAAAAAGATAAATATAAAATTGTTTTATGGGAATAAATAAGTAACAAGAAAAGGATATTGAAATCTATCTTCCTGATATGGCTGACACTTTCAAAATGTTAAACACTGTTGGTATTTCATAAAAAATGTCTCATACATAACCGCCTATGTGTACGGTAATTCACCGCAGAGTAGTGAGACAACATAATCAAACACAAGCAGCTGCAATGGCACAGAAGGACAGTGGTCACAATGCCCTTACTTATACTGGGAGGCGTGTGGTGCAGTGGGTTGTGCGTTGGTGTTGGGATCAGGGGGTCACAGGTTCAAACCCCACTTCAGTCAGCATGTCGTTGTGTCCCTGGGCTAGACACTTCACCCCAAATTGCTCCTGTGGGGATTGCCCACAGTATTGAGTATGTAAGTCGCTTTGGATAAAAGCTTCTAACAGGTGACATGTAATGTAATACTGACGATGAGTTGAAAAGACAATTTAGTGAGCTTCAATGTGTTTTACTGTTGCAAGATGTTACTGTTGGTAGGTTTACCCGTTGTATGTATTCATTCAAAACTAATATGAAAAGCTTACAGCCATGTAGAACTGCAGTAAGGCAACAATAAAGTTAGTATAAAACAAAAAGGGAATTGTAAAACTCTACATAAGAAAAAAAATTGAAAATGTAAATCAGTCACCTTGATGCAATACAATACATAAGGATTCAAGACTCCATTATGAAGGAATCACTTTTTATGTTGTCCACGGGCAAAATGGCATGAAAAGTTGTATTTGTCAGTGCACATGTGCCCACAGATGTTACACTGGAATGGGTGCTCGTAACCATGGCAGCCCATGTGAATGGTGTAGAGGATATAATCCTGAAAGTGAATATCACAGTGCTCGCATTTATTTAACAGCAGTTGCTCGGATGTGGTCAGGGCAGGGGGGGGTGAGCTCGGCTGGCTGCTAACACTCGCAGTAAGAGTGTGCATGCTGTTGTCAAAGCCCAGGCCGGGAACAGGACTGTAACTCCTGCAGCCTGAGGTGGGAGATTCATTTTTAGGAGGTGAAGTCTGCACTTGATTTGAACACATCGCTATAGGTTCACTAGAGATCTGGTGAATGATGATGGGCTTCTCGTCTTTAAAGGACTCTCTGTCTGGGGATGCACGAGGATGGAGGTCTGCTAACTGGCCGGCAAGTGTAGACAACTGGTCCAGTGGGTTAGTAAAAGTGAAACCATTAGCACCTCTGTTGTGACGGTCATTCTCATCCAAGTTCTCACTGCTGTTCAAATTGTGATGGATCTTGTGAGAAAAGTTATTCAGATAATCTGATTTTGGCATCGTCATGGAGTGAGAGTTTAAGTTGATGAGTAGTCGCCTGGTAAAGCCCGGTGAGCCGGTCCTCTTCTGCAGGGAGGTCAGCATTCTCTTATTGGTGAACGGAGAGCGGACGGCCCTCGTTGGGAGGAGCTTGTGGCGGCGGCGGCGGTGGTGAGACAGGTTGCTGCGGTCGCTACAGCAGAAGGCGCAGAGGTCACATTTGTACGGCTTCTCTCCTGTGTGCGAGCGCATGTGGGCTTCCAAGTGGCGCTCGTACGCTGAAGCAAACGGGCACAGCTGGCAGCGATGAGGCTTTTCTCCTAGGGAAGAAATTAAGAGCAAAATGGTTATAGTCAAACAAACTTTATTGTGAAAGAGTCAACAGTTATGAGGTTGTAAGTACAATGTTGTATGTGTTCAGCACAAGAAATTGAACAGTAAAGGACTTGATGATTAGTGATGGGAAGATTTAGGATTTGAGGTCAATGCAAACATTAGAAATGTATAGTTAGATGATCGTGGTGAAGTTTCGTTAACAGGGTAAGTGTGAATATTCTCACAAGTGACTAATACAAAATCTGTAAGGAAGTAAAGAGCAGAGCCTATTAAAACAAAATGTAATGTCAATATATATATTTGAGATTTCAAAGCCTTTATTGTCATATATATATATATATATATATATATATATATGACAATAAAGGCTTTGAAATCTTGAAGAGACTCGCACAATGTTACTGTTTTAAAATGTATTTTCCATCCTTTACTTATGCCGGGGACCTTCTGATTAAATCATACCTTATACAGCATTGTTCTTTTCACTAAAAAGGGTGTTCACCATGAATGATCTGTGATGCAGATAGATGTTTAGACATGGTGTTGCCCTTATGAATGAATGCAATGTTAACACTGACCTGTGTGGATGCGGGTGTGCTCTATTAAACGAGCCATGCCTTTGTTTGCATAGCTGCAGTAGCTACACTTGTATTTCCCATCGATGGTCCTTTCTAGGCCGTCTATCTGAACTTCTGGCCCATCCTCGACAGGTAGGCTCACCTCCACCGAGGGAGGATCCAGACCGTTCTGCTCACTCCTGGGGGCAACTAAAACCAGACACACAATGACTTTAGTATTTTACCTTTAACAAATATATCTGTTTATAATGAATTGTACTCAAATCTTACCGGCTTGAAAGGGCTGCCCTGACTCCTTTTCACCACAAACAGAGCCTGAGATCATGTTGACATGCTGAGTTTGTTGTGTCAGGTATTCTTGAAATTCCTTAACAAAATCCACAGGCTCGGTTTTTATCTCTTCCATCCTCCTTCTGTGTTGAACCTGGAATTATCCCAGAGGAATGGTGTAACGCTCAGCAACTTGTACTGCTGATATCCTTCAGTAGGTAAGTGAAAGGACGTTAGTAGCCTATGTTGATTGTTAGCTCATAGCAACAACTATGCTAACATTGCCCAGCTGAGCTAGCTCGACCCTTTATCGTACTTTTCATAATTATTCAAAACGATTATCTAACGCTATCCGTCGCGCAGCTCGTATCCAACCTTTCAGCGTCAAAGTAACATTATCGCTAAACAGAAAAAAGGGGGAAAGTGGGCCCTGGATTGTTAACAGGTGAAAGCTTCCGTTTTTGCTGATACGTCAGTAATCCTTGTCCCCGGAAACGCATCTGCTGCCTTCGTGTACTGTAGGTAAAACAAATTATATACATATTGACCTTTACAAAAGACGATCATATTATAAAAAAAACTGTCTGGGATACACTTCTCAAATACCTTTTAGAATGTTTTGTTTTATCCGGGTTCCCACGAAGCCGGATTTTGTCCCATTCATGTATTCACTGTAGCTATGACACGGTCTTTAATTCAGTAAAACAAATCATATATTCAAAATTAGCATGCCTTTCTTCCACACACAGTAAAGCACTCCCATATTTTTTTTGTTTAAACCTATTAAAGGGCATCCTGATTGGTTGATTGTGCTGTACTTACAGTACAGTTTTCGCAATCACGCTTTGACCATACAAGTTGAGTGTCCGATTGTCATATGAGGCACTTGAAAGCAGCATCACATCACATTTCGTAAGAAGTCATGGCTGCACCACTGGTCAGGATTTTCTCAAAGGTGAGACTGAATACTATTGTCCCAGTTTATAACATTTGTCTTGTTTCGGCACTGATTTTTAAAATACTTTCCTCTGTATAAGTCCCTTATCCTTGAACTACGTCACATAACCCGACTGGCTCTTATGACGATGTTGATGTTGTTAGCATACTGCTAATGCTATCATAAAACACAAACGAGTATCACTGAAATAATTAATCAACTTCATATTGGTGGTGAATAATGGCCGACATGGCTGTGTCGCACTTTTGTTCAAAGCTTGCATTAACTTCAGTACACATATATACATTTAAAACACTGTTGTCTGTCCTGGTTTCAGTCGTGCAGACAGATCTGTCGACCATGGGGTGCATGTCAGGCTGGATGGAGGAGCAGGTCTACCCATCCTGCCACAGAAACATCCACAGACCAGGGGGTTGTCTCCTTTCCTCCCCTTCAAACCTTTTCAGAGGAGGAGAGCATGATGAAGGAAGCAGGTGAGCTGGACATCTGCTGGACACATGATCTGCTGATGCTGACAGCTGGAGACAGACATTCCCTTAAACTCTTTACATGTGTTTTGTTCTTCAACAGTTAAAAAATATGCACAAGAACGCATTGCTCCGTTTGTGTCAAAGATGGATGAAAACTCTGTGATGGACCAGGAAGTGCTGACGTCTCTCTTTGAACAGGGTGTATGTAATTTGTTAAATTGTGAATTAACACACATTATGCATAATCCAGTGTTTTCTTTCTATCACTGACTCTGATGTTGAATTTACTTTCACAGCTCATGGGCATTGAGATTGACCCAGAGTACAACGGCACTGGCTCCACCTTCTTCTCTTCCATTCTGGTCATCGAGGAGCTGGCGAAGGTGGACCCCTCTGTGGCGGTGCTCTGTGACATCCAGAACACACTGATCAACACACTGTTTAGCAACCTGGGTACAGCAGCTCAGAAAGAGCATTACCTCAACCGACTGTCCACTGACATGGTGAGGACTGTGACATATTGGCTCTCCGTGTATGGCATATAACACTAAGCTTCTCTGAATTCCATTATACTGCCTGTTTCATGTCACACAGGTTGGAAGCTTCTGCCTCTCTGAAGCAGAGTCGGGGAGTGATGCCTTCTCTCTGAAGACACGTGCTGAAAAACACAAGGACTATTACATCATCAATGGTTCCAAGATGTGGATCAGCAATGCAGAGCATGCAGGTGTCTTCCTGGTCATGGCCAATGTAGACCCCTCTGCTGTGAGTAACTACACATCGTTGTATTCTTGTTCGATTTTTTCAGCTTAAATCATTTAATGGTATTTCTCTAGGAAAGTCTTAATTTAAATATACCTTATTTCATCATCTCACGTCGCAAAGAAATCAGATTTTCCCTCATATCTTAAATGCATTTGAGCTCTTGATAGCGATTGTTAACATGTAATACAAACTAGCCAAATCACACTGAAATTGTCACATTTAAACTGAGACCTCTCTAACTAAAAAAGATGGTGCCGCTATGATCAACAGAATGTGAAGAAAAAACTCCCTTTGGTTTGACAGGGGTACAAAGGCATCACCTGCTTCATCGTGGACCGGGACACAGAGGGGCTTGAGATTGGCAAGAAGGAGAACAAGCTTGGCCTGCGTTCATCCTCCACCTGCCCGCTCAACTTTGACAATGTCAAGGTAACACAGAACACCTTTTACTGCTCCATTAAAGGTCACATGTCATGCTTTTCCGGTTATTACCCGTCCCCTTGTGTGTTATGAAGGTTTTTATGCATGTAAACGGTGTGCAGAGTCAAAACCCTCAAAGTACACCCTGTAGCAAGTAAACTCTAATGGCCCGTCCACACAGCAGCTTTAGACGATTCTTCCACCGCTTCCAACGCTTCTCTGCCCATTGACTTTGAATGGGGATGACGTCACTTTTCCTCGCTTGTCGCCGAACTGCATTGTGGGGGAGCGAAGCGAAGATTTCCAGGATTTCCAGGATGTTCAGGATTCAAAAGTTGAGCAATGTTCAACTTTTGAAGCTGAGCTGGAAGCGTCAGCCAATCAAACCCGTTTATGCAAATCTGACAGTAGAAGCTCTAGCCAATCAAACCGCGTGTAAGCTGGGAGAGCCAGACCGCAGTTCATTTCCTCATATTCCAAACGAGAAATTACAGTAGCAAATCACCCGGTTGTTTACGACCAGACTATTTACCGGGATACAAACCGGAGGAACCAGGCATGGAGGGAGGTGCCAGAGACAGTGGGTGAAACTGGTAGGTTTTCGCCTGTTTGGGGAGTTTATATATATATATATATATATTGCTCGCATAAAATCCCCGTTTTTTTTTGCTTTGTATGTCGGGGGCGGGAGATTCATGTGATTGGTTGTTGGTCGTGTTGCTCGCAAAAAATCCCCAAGCTGTCAGACACACCCAGCTCCAAGATTTTCAAGATTTGTTCAAAGCTGCTGTGTGGACGGGCCGTAACACAGAAAATACCTCCCCAAAACGCCTCGTTGGAGATACGTCACTGTCCATTTGATTCTTCCGGGTACATCATGATGTCATGTCGTCCCCGGAACGAAATGGACCAATCCGTGGAGCCGTTACGTTACGTCCGCGGAGCCGTTACGTTAAGCCCCCGCTGTTTGGTCCAAATTGACCAATCCACGGACTTCCTCACACACTCAGTGCAAGCAGCTCTGCTGATTTCTCCTCCCGGGCTGCAGGCTGATAACAGACAGTTGGGATCGCGGCGAAATTCTCTCTGCAGACCCATTCTCTCTGCAGACCCATTCTCACAGCGTTTATCAACCTTTTTCTTACTCAATATCAAGCCACACTTATTGTTTTTACTTCGGCTGTGACTTTGTGTGTGCTCAGCTGTGTTTCGCTGTGTATCGCTAAACAAGGAAATCACACCTCCACGGAGCTCAGCGCGATTCACAACGTCCCGACTGGTCCCGACCAATCGGAGCACACTGGGCTCACAGGGAGGGGGGGGGGCAAGAGCTGCAACGAGCCGTTTAGTGGAGAGAGTGAATACACGTAGTTTACAGAGATGCTGTATGCGAAACCAATGTGAGTTTGGAACATTGAACAATGTAAATCTATTCTAGTAGACCTCAACAATGGAATTATGATCAGTGGAAATGGCCATGACATGTGACCTTTAAGATATGCACACTGTGACTTTGACTAAGTCCTTGCTTTTTTGTTGCAGGTACCAGAGAAGAACATTTTGGGACAGATTGGTCAGGGATACAAGTACGCTATTGGAATGTTGAATGAGGGCAGGATTGGAATTGCCGCTCAGGTAAACCTTTAATTTAAATAATTGAATTAAAACAGGCTCAATGTGTTCCATTCCGTGTCCAATGAGTGTTCATTTTGTGTCTGTGTTTCAGATGATTGGTCTGGCACAGGGTTGCTTCGACAACACTATTCCGTACACCCGACAGAGAAAGCAGTTCGGACAACGCATTTTTGACTTCCAGGTTCACAATAGTCTTCCCTCTTCACACAACATGTTTGTATTTATCCACATTTGGTCATGGGTTCTAATGTTGTTCTGGTTCTCTTTGTTTTTGCAGGGTATGCAGCACCAAATAGCCCACGTAGCGACACAGATTGAAGCCGGTCGGCTGCTGACGTACAACGCCGCTCGTCTGAAGGAAGCCGGGAGACCTTTCATCAAGGAGGCCTGCATGGCCAAATACTTCACTGCAGAGGTGACGACCTGATCCAGTGACCGCACCTCAACACAATGATGGTGTCACTGAGGGTTTTGGACGTGTTTAAATGTATTTCTAGAAAATATTGGTGTTATCTGTTTTATTTGATGTTTTTCTAAGGATTTCCCCCCCTTGTAATAATACTTTGCTGTTATATACATTTTCACAATTGTTCCGATCCCTTACAATATGTGTTGCTGAACTTTGATTCCTCTCATTATAGTTTCATTCATTAAAAGTTGCATGTTTTTATATCTATTCCATGTACTGCTTTCATGGCAAAGAAACTCCTGAAAAATATACGAAACTTCTTCCTGTCTTTATCTGAGTCATAATATTTGTTGTTTTCCTCAGGTTGCAAGCCTTACAACATCTAAATGCATCGAATGGATGGGAGGAGTAGGCTTCACCAAGGACTACCCCATAGAGAAATACTACAGAGACTGTAAAATTGGTGAGCATGACGCAACAAATATTGATGTTTGTTTTACATTTTTTTAATGAGAGCTGCTTTTAGATAACTGACTTAAAGGGGACCTATCATGCAAAATGAACTTTTTGATATCTTTTATACATAAATATGTGTCCCCGGTGCGTCGGGGAACTCACGCAGCGTCAGAAAATAAAACCCTTTCTCTTTTCCTCCGTACCCACATCTTTTAAAAACAGGGATACAGATTTGCTGCCGATATTACATAATTTCAGATGGTGGACCCACAGAGAGTTGCTATCAGAAACAATGCCTGACGTGTTTTAGATGTAATATGGTATTTTTTACATTAGCAAGCATCGCTAACACTCAGAGCTAACCTGTACTGGAGAGCAAATGTTTAAAAAGCAAGAAATAAAAAAAGGAACTCACCTTGTGGTAAACCCACAAGAGAAAAAAATGTTGAGCTCCATACTGTTTCAGAAATAATCCTTGATGTGGTTTGGAACAGGATGGTGTTTTATCACAGCAGAATTTAACTATCTCCGGTAGAATTCTGATCAGGCATTAGCTCCGCCTCCTCCTCTCTTTTTTTTTTTTTAAGCTAAGGACCCAAAATCCGCGTTTCTCTAAACAGGACTGGAATAGATATGAGGGATGTCTAAAATGCATGATCTGTTTATATTTTGAGAAAAACACATCATAGACATGTTTTTATATATCTGAGACCCATAATATATGCCTAAAAATAGCATGATAGGTGCACTTTAAGCCGCAATATAGAAAAATACACCGCTCCTGAAGGGCTGGGGGAAGGTCAGGTGTAGCTGTTTGTGATTGGACCAGAGTGGGGTGGAGGGAAAGGCTGATGCGAGTGGCTGTAATCGGACTCTGCAGGAATTCCCCCAGTCTGACCCCTCACAGTGCCATTATACCAACACACAGCCAGGGAACCTGCCAGGGCAACATGTCACTTTTCCTGTCAACACCAGCCTTTTGGCTCCCGAGTTATCCAGCTGGAGCTCCGGCAGGCTGAGCTGCATAATGAGACCCTTTGTGTCCTGATAGGGAAAGCTGCAGGTTCATGTTTTTTGCAGAGGAATTAGACAAAATGGACCTTGGTTTGTGCTGCTGGAATTCAACCTAATGCTTTGTTTCTCCTCCATGTGCAGGTACCATTTATGAGGGCACAACAAATATCCAGCTATCCACTATGGCCAAGTTCATTGATAAGGAGTATGATCACTGAACACATCCATCGGAGCCCGAGGGATTGCACTCCGCTCTTGTTACCCTCCATTACCTTCTCCTCAAATGACTCTGGGCGATGCCTTGCTGTAGATCTTCTAGAATTTCTCTAGAGTTTTGTTGCAGTTCTATATGTTTTCTTTTGTTAAGTAGTTTGCACTAATGATGTGACTGATGTTGTGGTTCCATTTCTCCAGCTTTAGGGTTAAAGTTATTTTTATTCTATTTTCTTTCTGTCAAACTTTTACAAAAGTCTAGGAATACAAAATGTCATATCGATAGAGCTGCCACTAACGGTTATCTTTGTTATCAAATAAACTGCAGATTATTTTCTAACTTAATCGCTTGGTCTATAAAATGTGAAACAAGTACATCCACATTTCTTTAAGTCCAAGTTGATGTTTTTAAAAAAAAAAGAAGATATTCAGTTAAATATGATATAAAACTGATAAAAGCAGGAAATCTCATTTTTATATAAATAATTGATTTAATTGATTTTCTAATAGTTGGCTTTTGTTTTCTGTTAATTGACTAATCGTTGCAGCTTTACCCATCCCCCTCTTGGCCATATTCTTCTTCTGTTTATTGAGATATGGTGGTGAATCATGTCAGAATAGAATAACTGATTCATATGTTTCAATATGACCATTTTTAAAGATTTTGATTTTCTCTGAATGTTTCAGTGCCTTCAGAGGGTCGGCTGTGACTGAGCTGAATAACTTAGAAAGTCTGTCTTCGCAGGATACTCTCAAATAGGTGAACTGGTACCACTCACTTATATGCTCCAGAAATACTGTACAGTTCCTCGTTATGTAAAACTAGTAGATCATTTACATCTTATCATGAAATTCTCTGTACAGAGCGATTATCAATAACTTTGGCAATATCAATAAATGTGAATTATACTGAATCAACCCTCTTTCTGTGGTGTGACTGAGGCAGATGAATGTATACAGTCTATGATGAATACATAGTTCTGTCACTAGATGGCAGCATTCTCCAGAGGGACAGCAGCACTCTGAGTTGAGACGGCTTCGAGAACAGTCAATTACCGCATCATTTAACAGCCTGTCACCTCTAATGATATTTTATATCAATTTAATTATGCTGGTGCTTCAGATGAAAAGAGCCTGCCTTGTATAATTGACTCACTGATCATTTTTCAGCTGATTACATTTCCACTGCCTGCATGTGCCGTGTAAAATGAGGTTTATTGTTTTACACAACACAGACAAGCTGTGTCTATGTTAACAGACCTGTAATAGCCATTACCCATGATGACCCCTTGTAAAAAAAATGATCTTATGAGGAATCCATTCATCACTGGCAGTACCTAATATGTATTCATTAGGATAATAACTCAGATTAATACCCGCTGCAGTGATAGAGTTGCTAAAATATGTAGATGTTCAGATCCCCATTTGGTTAAGGGTTATAAACGGTTACAATTCAAACATCCAAAATATTGTCATTTTTTTTATTACATTTATTAAAATGTATTTTAACAGGGAATAACAAAGCTCTCTTTCACTGGTGCCCCACAAATGTTGTTTCTAACTCTATAGAAAAAGAAGAAAGCAAGTAAAAAATTAATGAAGAGACCTGTTTTACGTATTCTCTAAGAGTAGTTTTCTCTTATTTTGAATTATTCCACTTACACAAAAAACAAAATATTATCAAACAGTATTCTAGTATTGTGACCATAACATTTTATTTACTGATTTATTGTTGATACTGAGATACCTGATCAAACAGCAGTTATTTTATATTTGTATTTGAAATGAAGGTATCATTTAGGCATGGGTCATCACTGATAGTATAGTGTTTTATGTGTGATGTAATTAGATGTAATTATGACGGGTTCAAAATGTTCTAGATGTTTTGCCCAAACATTGTACTAAAATGACTGAATTGAAACACATGGTTCTTTTGGAATCATTGATTGAGTGGACCTTGTTTCCCCCACTGATCCACTCTGACTTGTTCTGTCTATTGTGTAAGCCCCTGCTTAATGAACATAATCTGATGAAAACACAGCTATCTGCTTTTGTCTCTGCATCGGCAAACGCGGGCTCAAATAGCCTCTTTCTCCGCCCCCATCTTTAACACAGCTATGAGACCTCTAATTATGCAGGGATTCAAGTAGCTTTTCACAAAACACAGTGTTGTCCTTCAGAGCTGGAGAGCGCTCCCTGAGCTAAAAGGACAGGCTGCATGTTTGTAGGTTGAGCAAATGCAATTGTTATGATTAGTGCTCTGCATCTGCTTCAAGTTTGGTTTAAATAGTGAATCTTAAATGTATCTTGTTTGAATTTTGTATCTTCACTTATTTGTATTTTGCCGTTCTATACAAATAAGTCTGAGCAGAATATTAACTTAATGATAAACAAAGTATCTATATCCAAAGACAGGTGCATGCAGACTTTTTGTGTGTGTTTGCTTTAGGGTTTTTTGAGCCGAATACATTTAAAGTACAATCCAGAGGTCAGAGAAGGTTGAAAAATCCAGCATTTAAAATCCCTCTCGCCTGGTGAAGTCTAAAACATGCATTGTTCATAGAAAAACGGTTTGAAAGCTGAACATTTTAAACTACATTGGTGTCTTTATCTTCTGTTATATCATCTAATCTGACCAAATGTAATCAGGTCTAATTACACAATATATTTTTGCTACATTCAGACCATTATTACACTTGTTTATCCTCATCATGCATTGCATCACCTGCTGCTGCCTCTGTGGGTTTGCAAGCTTTTGTACAAAGCAGATTTTAAAAGCCTTTGTCACAATGGTAAGCATTCAATTTGATGTCTGCCTGTAGCACTTCCTGACAAAATATAATTATATTGAAGTCAATGAGATCTGGTGCAGTACAAATGCAGGTATATTGCTTTCCGGTTACAAACAGGTGGAACGAATCAGTTTCAAATAACAGATGAATGACATTGATCTTCAGCATGTCACAATTCTACAAACAATCATGAATCACCTTCTATAATTACATATCTTGCTAAACGAAATTAATATGATGTCCTTTTTCAAGTCGAAGTCATTTTTTGTGTGTGTTTTTGTTTTGTGTGGCTTGCATTAGTGCGTAAACTGTGCGTAATATTTGTGCCAAATCCAAACTGTGTACAGCTCCACGTTGAGGTATGATAGTCCCTTCACCATTTATTCAATTTACTAACAGGTGATTTAGCACGTGCACGTCCCAAAACCCCCGAGACGTTCTCCTCTTTATTCTAATTGGATGATAAGTGGCTGCGTACTGTTGAGCCCGAAGCCAAAACGCTTGCGCGGTCCTTTTTTCTTTGGAGTCCATTCTCGTCACAGCCCCTCGCGGATTCATCCCACATCCCATTCGCTATTGTACCTGCCCAATAGCAGAGACCGAGCGCGTTTTAAGTCGGTTGGCATTTTACATTTCATCATTGCAATCCAGCGCGAGTTTGACGCAGTGATCTCTGAGCTCTCATTCAGATCAGCTGATTTCCCACCTCTCTCTTTCTCTCTCTCTCTCGCATAGTTTTAATATAAAACAAGATCTTTTTTTTCAAGCGTTTCTTTTCCTAGATAAGTTTTGATGGTGATCCACATCGGACAGTAAACTGTGATGGCAGACTCTGATGCGCAAGAGACTCGCCAACCTGCAAAAGACTCTCCGTTCTCCATAAAGAACCTGCTGAACATCGAAGACAAACCAGCGAAGCCCAAAAGCTTCCTCGGTTCGTCCAGAGGAGTCTTTGAAGGCAACTTCTTCTCTCGGCTCGGGGACTTGTCCTTCCCTCGGTTTGAGTTGCCCACACAGAGAATTGGACTATCGGCGCAGTATTTGGAGAGAGCGTCTACCTGGTGGTACCCATACACACTCGGGACTCATCTCAGGACTGGAGGTAAATACTATTAACTTTGTTGATGAGAGAAATGTAATGTTTTAGAAAAATCTGAATTTGGATTTATTTTAGAGCAAAAGGCCCATTACGTCATATCAGGAAGGGATGCCATATTATGGGATTTAAAATAGCCACTGGCAATATAAGGAAGTTTGGCTGTATCCCTTAATGTGAATTTGTCAACAAAAGTTCCCATAGTTTATTTCCCCAATAGGCCAATAATAAATGTCTATAATTCATTTTGAAACATGTTTTGCCTTTCAGGATATGTTTAAGTGTAAAGACATTTAAATACCTTTGTGTTCCTTCCTCCAGGGTCTGAGAAGGCCAGCCTGAGAGAAGTTTCGCCGGCACCGGACAGGCGATCCCCGGATCTCCAAAAAATAGACCAAGATGCCAAAGAGGAAAGCGCCGACGAAGATATCGCGCTTGATGAAAGTGACTCTGAAGAGCCAAAGAAAGAAATAGACCAGGAAGACGACTGGAGGAGGAAAACGGACGATCTGGACTCCGATAAAAAACACTGTCGAAAGAAGAAGACGCGCACGGTGTTTTCCAGGAGTCAGGTCTTCCAGCTGGAGTCCACCTTCGACATCAAGCGCTACCTGAGCAGCTCGGAGAGGGCCGGCCTGGCTGCGTCCCTGCACTTGACAGAGACGCAGGTGAAAATCTGGTTTCAGAACCGGAGGAATAAGTGGAAAAGGCAGCTGGCCGCGGAGCTGGAGGCGGCCAACATGAGCCATGCGGCGGCGCAGAGGATTGTGCGTGTTCCCATACTTTACCACGAGAACGGAGCCCCAGAATCGGCCGGGGGCCCCGCTTCAAACTCACCGAGCAGCCAGTCACTGCTGGCTTTCCCCCACCACATGTACTATTCCCACCACGTCCCACTGCTGAGGCCTGTGTAACACTGACCATGCGCTGTACACATGTTTTTAAATGATTGACCTTCATTGGAAAAAAATACACATTTTGTACATTTTGTAGATTTAACGAAGACAATGTTATGTTATATTATTATTATTGTTATTAATATTATTATTATTAGGCAGCCCTTTCCTGCTGAAGCGTCCCATGGCTCCATTTGGTTTAACAGGAGGGACATTCAAAACGTGTTATTATTACAAAACATATTATTGTTATTGGTAAAATTGTTACATGCTCTAAAGTGGGTAAATATATTTTAATGTTTTTGTTTGGAAAAAAAATAACTTGTTTTAAACAGGGTTGACTGTCCATAGCAATTGTACAGATATTTGTGTCAGTGTTTGTATAACACATGTGGAATTTAATATTTTGATATTTTCCTATATTGTGCAATAATGTTGGCTTCACATTAGGCTACCAGCCTTTAACACCTATAGGCTATAGTTCACTTTTACAAAAAAAAGCAACCCTTTTCTCTTTGTAATAGTGAAGACAATCATGTGATCCTTAAAAAAAACTGCAGTTGATGGGGATTTGTTTTTATGTTGCAATGTTTTCCGGTAATTTAAAAGCCATGCAAAGAGCCAAAAATAGCCTTTGGTGTATGTTTTTCTCTGATATTGTTATTGAAAATCTGTATATTATGATCTTAAGTAAAGATTTCGTTCCAAAAAAGACGTATCTATCCTTAATATGAAAGTGATGTACATGTGAAGAAATAATTCAATTAAGTTGTGTCCTAAAGTTCTTGGTTTCCAATCATTTGTGAGGATAGAGTGATGTTTTCTTTACGATTCTTTAAAAACACAATGTTATAGGTGATCAGGCGTTTAAGGCACATTGAGGGACTGCAGAAATGACCGTCCTCTCCAAAATAAAACACTAACATTGGATAAATCTAACAGTTATTCATTATGGCTACCAATTTTGATTTGATGATTTTAGACATTTTGCGAAATTCTCAAGTTAAATAATTGAGGAGCCATTATTCTAGAATATTGTGACACTTTAAAGTGTATAAACACAGATCTCTTGCTATAGGCCTATGTATTGATGCGTATTTTTTCAAGAATGGTGCAAATATTTTACAGGAAACGCTAGATTAAGATAACATACAATTACATTTTCCCAACGAGTTGCAATACTAAATTCATAGTCTGCAGAAATAATTCCAGGTAACAAAGAGTGAAAATAAAAAAAATGACCAAGTCAGATCCAAGTAGCCTACTGTCACAATTAAAAAGCAAAGTCAAACGTTACATCTTCACAAATGTAAATTGTAGCCTATTGCTTATGTTTAGAAGAAACCTGTGATGTGTTGCACTGTAATTCTAAGGCTGGACTATTTGAGTAAAGTTCCCCTAAAAAAATAATAGGAAGAAAGGCTATAGAAATAATCAATTGTATAAAACAGCATAGGTAGGCTATATTTACCATTGCTGAAAGGCCTTACACTATGGAAGCAAGCAGCTGACTGAATTAAAAAAAATCCCTTTTTTATATCGTTGTTAGGTTTTCCTTGTTTGTAGGCCAATTTGCTAAGATGATCACGGTGTAGGCTGATTCAATTTATTTTTAATAATGCATTATTTAGTTTTTCTGATATTGCATTGTATCAATCGTAAATGAGACACACCGATACTCATACTTACAGAGAGGAGAAAACAGTCCTGCGTCATGTGATCTGCACTGAGACAACGGAAATAGACATTAAGCTTAAACGAACCAATCATTTCGCAGGCGGGAACTTGAACATTCGACTCAACCAATCAGCATCGGCGCCGCTACTAGCTAAGGATATAGCTCCACGCAGCCACATTGCTTTGTAACATTTCCACGTTATATATTCTATATTTAGCTGGTAACCAAGATATAATAATTCCGCGGTGAAAGAAAGTTACCATTCGCATCGGGAGCACACGAAACCGAAGCGGTAAGTAAACTGAAAATGCCATCATCAAGGCTTTAACCTACGTTATCTTGACCGTTTTCAAGCTAGCATTAGCAGACACCAGTGCCATTAGCAGAAGGCTAGGTGTAATTGCTATATGTAGCGGTACATGTCGTGTTGTCGATCTCAAGAACACATTATATCGAGATCACACAACGTAAAGTCATATTTGCACCAGCCTTGCAACATAAAACCATATTGTTTAGCTTTAGCTTTTAACTGAAGTACTTAGTAGGGCTAGCTAGCAAGCTAAACCCTCAAGCGCTGTCACTGGGCTAGGCTAACAACAAGCTGGAGAGCGGTTGTCCTCCATTTATGTTGGCTTCAGTAACTCTATCAAAACATCTACGTTGTTGTTCCTTTTTAAGGGACATGGTTTAGAAAGAAAACAAAGTAATAAAGCCCAATTAAATACCTATCTGAAGTTAACATCCGATATCGATATCTGGGAAAGCAAACTCTTTATTCACCTGTATGTTAAGGTTGTTCAGCTCGCATTGTGAATGTGGAAGTATTTTCAATGTTTTCTCTTACATTTTACAATTTCCTGAACTTTCTTGCTATGTTAGTGGTTTAGTTAGGATAAAGTGGTTTTTGGTCAGAGTAAATCAGTAATATACAGGGAATAAAAAAAACAACATACCTTTTTAGGATTGTAATGCCAGGCAGGCTATTGTAGTATTACTTTCCTGAAGTATATTCTTTTAAAACGTGTATTTCAGCCACTAAGAAGTTTCTAATCAACTCTATGGATATATTTAAGCCTCTGGTATGAGATGTTATTGATCTACATACACTTATGCTTTTGCAACTGTATTCTTTTGGTGTGAATGATTGTTATATTTACTGTACATTTCTCTTTTATGCATTTATTGCGTCACTCGGTTACAATTTCAGACTTACTGATATGTGTAATCTTTGCAGATGACAGGCTCAAACGAGTACAAGCTAAACCAGGGACCAGATGACAGCATCTCTGCTGTCAAGTTCAGCCCCAGCGCAACACAGTTCCTCCTGGTTTCCTCCTGGGATGGCACTGTGCGCCTATTCGATGTGGGAAGCAACACCATGCGGATGAAGTACCAGCACTCAGCTCCCGTTCTTGACTGTGCCTTTTATGTAGGTCACAGATTTGTATATTTGTTCAGTCTTTTTATTGTCATGTTAAACCCCAGAAGTCTGCTTCACACACAGATAACATTCCCTTTTCTTTTGCAGGACCCAACTCATTCTTGGAGTGGAGGTTTAGATGCACAATTAAAAACTCATGATTTGAACACAGACCAAGGTATGTAACAAATACTAATAACAGTTTTAATCAGGCAGTATTGTCTCTAAACCTTCCACATATTTTCACATCTGCCATATATTTGCTGTATGTGTTAATTTCTGCTGATCTTTAATATTATCCTTAAACAGATACAATAGTTGGAACACATGACGCCCCCATTCGTTGTGTGGAATACTGCCCAGAGGTTAACGTCATGGTAACGGGCAGCTGGGACAGATCAGTTAGGCTGTGGGACCCAAGGACGCCCTGCAACGCTGGCACCTTCACTCAGCCTGAAAAGGTAAAGCGAAAGATACACCATAGTATAATAACATATAACCACATTTTTGTTTGTTTAGTCTTTGTTATAGAAAGTTTTCGTTATGACTTATTGTAACATTGTGTTTGTCTAGTGTCAAGTAAGGCATTGGTAATTTCTGGTGGTGTGTTTCTTTCCTGTCTCATCCTGTCTCTTGTCTTTGTGAAAGGTGTATACCCTGTCTGTGGCTGGAGACAGGCTGATCGTTGGCACAGCCGGGAGACGAGTCCTGGTGTGGGATTTGAGGAACATGGGCTACGTACTGCAAAGGAGAGAGTCCAGTCTCAAGTATCAGACTCGCTGCATCAGGGCCTTCCCCAACAAACAGGTACACTTTCAATTAAAGTCAACTTTATGAATGAAATTGTACTAAAATATACTGTTTAAGCTTGCCAGATGATTTACTCCTATGAGAACACGTTGTCATAGATACCTGTGTTAATGAAAAGCAGTTGGGTTGTAACATCATATTTTCTGTCTTTGCTCCAGGGCTACGCCTTGAGTTCAATCGAGGGACGTGTAGCTGTGGAGTACCTGGACCCAAGCCTGGAGATTCAGAAGAAGAAGTATGCCTTCAAATGCCACAGACTGAAGGAGGAGGGAATCGAGCAGGTTTACCCTGTCAATGCCATTTCCTTTCACAGTATCCATAACACCTTTGCCACAGGTAAGACCGGCTAGTTAGTACATGAGAAAATGAGCTTCCTCCTACATTTAGTCTTTTCATTTCAAACCTTTTATTTAACGAGATTGGTCCCATTGAGATCATAGATCTCTTTTTCAAGGGAGACCTGCAGCATATAGGTTCCACATGAAACATAAAACAATAAAGGACATCATACATTATATGTGCCCATAGTATCAACGAGCATTTCATTTAGCCTAGCTTTAAAAACATGCAGAGGAATGAGATTGCTCAGTTTCAATTCTTGCTGAAGACTGTTCCAAGCAAGTGGAGCTGCGCACATAAAAGCTGTCTTACCTAAGACAGTCCTTGCTCTTGGCACGTCTAACAATACTACATCATGCGATCTCAGACAATAGCTGCTTGCAACTCTGTGTTATCAGAGAGCAGACATAATACGGGAGTTTACCCAACAAAGCTTTATAAATAAATGTGAACCAATGACTGAGCCTCTTTACAGTAAGTGATGGCAAACCTGCCTTGGCATACAGGGTACAGTGATGTGTAAGTGCTTTACAATTAGTGACAAATCTCAGTGTGCTGTGATAGGCGGCATCTAACTTGTTCAGGCAATGGGCAGGTGCATTCATATAGACCAGATCACCATAGTCCAGCACAGGTAAAAAGGTCACAGTGACTAGCTGTCCTCAAGCGAGAAACAGGACTTGTTTCTGAAAAAGAAACCAAGTCTAACCCTCAGCTTTTTAAGAAGGTTATTGACATGAAGTTTAAAAGTAAGACCATCATCAAGCCAGATACCTAGGTATTTGTAACAGGCAACCACTTCTAGTACTTGTCCTTGCATAGTAACAATATCTAAAACAGGCTCTGGTGTCTTTTTAGCTTTTGAAAATAGCATTACCTTGGTTTTATCAACATTTAAAAGAAGCTCAAGCTCAGCGTGCTGAGTCTGAATAAAAAATTTTTTTTTTATATAGCACATTTATAAACGATTTTTGGTCGAGCCAAAGTGCTGTACATAAAATAAAAATAGCCTACAGTTGAGACACTTTACAGCAAATACAACAGCACAGATTGTTCAGAATATCAGTATGAGAAAAACGACACCCTCTATCCTTCGACCCTCACATCGTACAAGGAAAAACTTCCAGAGAAAACCCACAGTTTGAGGGGAAAAAATGGGAGAAACCTCAGGGAGAGCAACAGGGGAGGGATCCCTCTCCCAGGACGGACAGACGTGCAATAGATGCCGTGTGTAAATCGAAGAGATAATACATTTTACAGCATATAGACCGAATGTTAGGAAATGCATGTGTCTGTAATAAGAAGATGAATCCACGAGGATGTCAGCTCAAAGGGACCTGCACAGTACATCACGGTATCGTCCGCACAGAAATGTAAAGTAGCTTCATCCACATTTTCACCTAAACTGTTGATGTAGATGGAGAATAAAAGTGGACCTAAAACAGAACCTTGAGGAACACCATTAGCAATGTTTAACCACTCAGAAGACAGCCCATGAAAGTGAACACATTGGGACCTTTCAGAGAGGTAGTTCACAAACCAACCCACTGCATGGCTGGATATGCCAATACTGAGTAGCCTCTGCTTTAAGATGCGATGATCGACGGTATCAAACGCTTTGGAAAGGTCAATAAATAGAGCTGCACAACTCTGCTTATTATCTAAAATACTCGTAATGTCATTTACCACTTTCATTGTGGCAGTGATGGTGCTGTGTTGCTTTCTGAAGCCTGACTGATGTTTAGACCTTTACCTGTTCACTCACTAGGCGTTCGAGTATCTTCGCCAGAACTGACAATTTAGAGATTGGCCTATAGTTATTTAAAATAGTTGCCTCCCCTCCTTTTAGCAAAGGCAAGACATAAGCTGACTTCCATACTTTTGGAATTGCATTTGTGCTGAGGGAGAGGTTAAAAAGAGTAGTAACGGCCCGTCCACACAGCGGCGTGCGTTGAAGCTTCCAACGCTTCTGCCCATTCACTTTGAATGTGGTGACGTCACTTTTAGCCGAACTGCATTTTGGGAAGCGACGTGGAGCGTTGCTGGCGTAGCTGGCGTCAAAAGTTGAGCAATGTTCAACTTTTGACGCCTCGATGGAGGCGTCAGCCAATGAAATCCCGTTTATGCAAATCTGCCAGTACAAGCACTAGCCAATCAAACCGCGTGTATGCTGGGAGAGACTACGCAGGTCATTTCCTCATATTCAAAAAAATGGAGGGACAATTGATTATAGCGGTAGTGAATCACCCGGTGCTGTTTGATCAGTCTCTGTTCATCTACCGGGATACAAACCGCAGGAGCGAGGCATGGAGAGGGAGGTGGCAGAGACAGTGGGTGAAACTGGTAGGTTTTCGCCTGTTTGGGGATTTTATATCCAGTTTACTTCGTTTTAACATTGCTATTGCTTTGTATGTCGGGGGCGGGAGATTCATGTGATTGGTTGTTGGTCGCGTTGCTCGCAAAAAATCCCCAAGCTTCAGATACGCCCACCTCCAAGCGCCAACGCACACTGCTGTGTGGACGCTCCGTAAGAGGTGGAGCAATAAAATCTGCAGCTATCTTTAAAAAGAAAGGTTCTACGTTGTCCGGCCAGCCGGTTTCTTAGGATCTAGCTTGGTTAAGGCTTCATGAACAACATTAACAGTAAAAGGGTTTTCGAGACCACATTGTTCAGAGTCACGGATTGGGGTGTTCACAGAAGCAGAGTTAGAAACAGAATCAAACAGAGAGCCACAGGACACAAAATGCTTATTAAAGCAATTTAACATGGTGGTCTTGTCCGATATAGTGCCAGATGCTGTGGTAAGGCACGGAGGTAGCTCATTACGGATCTCACCGGTGGATATCGATTTTATGGTTTTCCAAAATTTCCTAGGATTATTTAGGTTTTCTGTGGTAACTGACAAATAGTACTTTGATTTAGCACTTTTGACATGTGAAGTGAAGCTATTCCTTAGCTGCCTAAAATGCAGCCATTCTACCTTTGAGCCTTTGCCCAGGCCTTGTTTCTCTCATGCAGGAGACTAGACAGTTCAGCAGAAAACCAAGGATTGTCTCGTGCCTTTACTCTAAATGTACTCAGGGGTGCATGTCTATCAATGATCTCCATAAAAATAAGACCATGCAGTTTCTACATCAGCACACAGATCGATTTTTCCCCAATCAAACCCAAACAGATCATGAACAAAACCCTGCTCCACAAAATGTTTTTATGTCCCTCTTAATAATAATACGAGGTTTAACCTTTTGGACCTTAGTGTCCCTAATTGTGGCTACAGCACTGTGGTCACTCACATCATTCGCAAATACTCCCACAGATGAGCATTTATAGGGAACATTAAAGTCTGTCTTTGTACGTGTGCAAATTGTCTTCTATAAAGCTCAGGTTTTCCTATGACCTTTACCATTTAGCTGCCAAGGTTACATGAAGAACACAGGGTTATTATAGATCCATATCTCAGCAGCAACACGACCTAAATCTTTTTGAGGTTGACCTTGAGCCTCTCCTTCTTCCAGGTGGCTCGGACGGCTTTGTGAACATCTGGGACCCTTTCAACAAGAAGCGCCTGTGTCAGTTCCACAGGTACCCGACCAGCATCGCCTCACTGGCCTTCAACAACGACGGCACCATGCTCGCCATCGCCGCCTCCTACATGCACGAGAGGGGAGACATCAACCACCCGGAGAACACCATCTTCATCCGCCAAGTCACAGACGCCGAGACGAAACCCAAGTGAGTGTCCCTCACCCCTCGTGTCCTCACTGTGGCAGTCCGCTACTCACCCAATCTTGTATGCAGCTGCATTTACAAGGAGACACGTCCAGCTGCACAATATGCCGATCGGTATCTCTGTCCGTCCACTTTTCAATATCCGACAGTTGAAAGATAGACAGATGAGAACTTGGAAATCCTCCCCCCCCCCCCCCCAGTATGTGTATGTGTGTATGCTGCTGTAAATATAGAACCCTGCTGTACCCCCACAATAGCCCTGTATTAAATACTACTTTTGTGAAACTAAATCAATGTTTGACCAGGAACTTTTATAATACCGTTGATTGTTTTTATGCATTATATGGTCGGATATATTGGACTCAAACAGTAACACATTGTTGGTCAAATGTTTTGCTCCTCCGAGGACATTTGTCGTTTTCTGAAGACCAAGGTTTGATTTTGTTGTAATATTGGTACAAAAATGCTCCCACTTATGTTCCACAGTAGCCACATGACTTTCTCACTGTTCATCCGAAATAGGGATGCACCAAGAACCCAACCCATACCAGTGTATAATAATATGTATGCATTCAAACTCCATATTTAATGTATATACTATATAAACAACAACTCAAATCATCTATAGCCAACCCAACTGTTTGAGTATCAGCCCGATATCTCTATTGGTGCATCCCTAGATCAAAGTGTAATCAATAAACTTCTAAAACATGTATTTTAGCAGCTCTTTGTTTTGGTCATACTGTTGACCCTCAGTCAGAAACACTTTAAACATAATTCAGTAAATGGGATATCACTTGTCTCCATGTATGGTTCAGGGTTAGCTCCAGAGTTTTGAATGGGTTTAAATCTCCTGTTTTTGGTTCACAGGTCAACCTAAGTGGGCCTGGGAATGGTTCCCTCTGCGTATGAAGCCTTTATCACATTTGGGTTATCTGCTGGCATCCAGTGTACCATTACCATATATATCGCTGTCATTTATTACAATTCCAAGAACAGTTTTTATTTCCCTCTTTGACTTCTTGTTTGTTCTAACTCTACTTTGTGTCTCTTGTTTTATGTATCTTTTGTAAACCAACTTTTGTTTTCTTGACTAAAGCTTAATTTTATATTCTCCTATTTTGTCTTGTTCTGCTTGGTTATTGTGCAGTGGATGATGGAGTTACATTGAATCTTGTAACACTGATTACATTTTGTTTTGTTTTAAACGTTGACAGTATGATAAAACATGTTTATATCAATTCTGTCCAACTTCATGTTTTGTCACATGTACCTTTTTGAAAGTAAGCCTATGAAATGGCAGGAATGTGTCAGGGCAGAAGAGGCACCTGATGATGTGTTGAGGGAAAGCGATGATCCACTGCTCTTGCCGAGGGCTCCACTTGCCCCTGGACACTGACCTGTGCTGATAGACAACAGGGGTCCGCGGCTCAGACCAGAGCCTGTTTATTACTGGGAGAAAACCACTAAACTGGATGACCCGGCTGCTTCAGAAACACCGGTGACGCTAAGATGAAATGAGCATACGGCTCATTTACAGAGGTGTACAATAACTAAGTAGATTTACTGAAGTACCGCTCTTAAGTACACTTTTGAGATACTTTACTATTTTCATTTTTAGCTACTTCTACTTTACTACAACTCAGAGGTAAATCATGAACTTTTACTCCAATACAATTATTTCCTATCTTTATTGACTAGATTTGGGTTAATGATGTGAAATATAATCAACACTTAAATAATACTTTACTCTACCCTGCAGTATACAAAGTCATTCGAACTAGCTGCACCTTTACCAGTTTTGATAACACTAATGATCAATAGTTATTATCAAAACATATAATATATATATTGTTCTGAAATGGACCAATCTGCATAATGTGTAATTTTACTTTTGGTACTTTAAGTATATGTAATGCTAATACTTTTGTACTTTTACTTAAAGGGGACCTATCATGCCAAATTCACTTTGTGATGTCTTTTATACATAAATGTGTCCCCGGTGTGTCGGGGAACTCACGCAGCGTCAGAAAATAAAACCCTCTCTTTTCCTACCCAAATCTTTTAAAAACGGGTGTACAACGAGCGGATACAGATTTGCTGCCGGACAGCGGACCCACAGAAAGTTGCTATCAGAAACAATGCCTGACATGTTTTGGACGTAATCTCGTCTTTGTTTACATTAGCAAGCCTGCTAACACTCAGAGCTAACCTATACTGTAGAGCACGTGTTTAAAAAGCAGGAAATAAAAAAAGGAACTCACCTTGTGATAAACCCGCAAGAGAAAAATCATTTGAGCTCCATACTGTTTCAGAAATAATCTTTGATGTGGTTTAGAACAGGATGGCGTTTTACCACAGCAGAATTTAACTTTATCTCCGGTAGAATTCTGATCAGGCATTAGCTCCGCCTCCTCTTCTTTTTTTTCTTTTTTTCAAGCTAAGGACCCAAAATCTGCGTTTCTCTAACAGGGCTGCAAAAGAGGGGTATGAGCAGTATGAGGCATGGCTACAATGGGTGAACTGTTTGGTATTTTAAGCAAACAAATTCACAGACATGTTTTGTATAGGTATGGCCCTACAATATATTTTTCCAATATAGCACAATATCATGCTATATTTGAATAATATATTGTCCTGTTTTTGCAAGGGCTGATTCTGTGGCCAATGAGCTGCAGCTGACCACGCCCCCCTGCAAAGGAAGGGGGCGAGGCACCAGCGTCATGTTACCATGCCATGGCAACCTCGCATTCCCCTGATAGGTGGAGAGTTGCCCATATAGGCGGAGCTCCTTGTTTCTGATGTCAGAGATATTTCAAATCTGGATCAGTCTGTATCAGCCCCGTTTTTAGAGATTTGGGTATGGCGGAAAAGAGAGAGGGTTGTGTTTTCTGACACTTGGTGAGTTCCCTGACACACCGGGGACACATTCATGTATAAAAGACGTACAAAAGTGCATATTGCAGGTCCCCTTTAAGTAACATTTTGATTAAAGGACTCACTTGACAGAGTATTCCTACACTCTGGTACTTCTACTTTTACTCAAGTACAGAATCTGAGTACTTCTCCCACCTCTGCTCATTTCTAGATGTAACTTATTTGTAATGCTGCTTCATCAGTTTAGTACCCCAGGAGGTACATTAAGGGTTATTAGGCCATCTTTAAGTTATATTCGTGTTATGTCATTTCTTGATAAATCCACAGGGAAAAATAACATTTACCGGTAACTCACAAACATTATACACATTTTATTGGAGATAAAAATGGCCTAGGTGTTTCCGTGTTCTAACACCTTTTTCATTATTACCCCTGAATTTAGCAGCTGTATTTTTACGAGTTGTTACTCTGGTGACAGTGGGATGCGACGCAGACCTTTGTTAAGGCGGTACGGGGCATTATATGAATGGGAGCAGGGAACACTGAGCAGAGCCCTGCTAAAGTCTAAGTGGTGTCTTTTTCCCTCAGTTCGGATTTTTCAATTGCAACTAATGCAATTTCTGAAGCCCTTCAGCCAAAGCAGCAGCAAAGATATAGATGTCAATTATTCTATTTAAGAGCTCCAATCTTTTCTAATGGCTCTATCTGCTTCTGCGGTATCCTGGAAATGATTAGTTGGGATTGGTTAAATGATGTAACTAATTCCCATGATTGCCGATAATGAGTCCATCTTTGACGTTCGAATATGACTGCAGCTTAATATGAAATGGCATTCATTTTGGGACATAATTACTGCGCATGACGCAGGCGGGGAATGGTGGGGCTACAGCAAATTACCTTGTTTCCTGTCATCTTTGGCTTCCGCTAAATTGGAAAATGATGTTCTCTGAGTGTCCTTGAAACAGTTTTTCTTGTCTGTATTGTTTAGAGATGTTTCATAAGGATGGTTGTTTAGCAATTTCTCAGTTGCATATGAAACTATTTGTATTTTTTGTCTTATGTGCAAAGAGTCACAAATGAAGTTCCTATCATACAGTGGTGGAATGTAACTTAGTGAATTTACAAAGTACTTTGGTTGAGTACCATTTTAAAGCACTTATACTCAAGTATTTTCTGCGTTTCTTCTATTATATATAGTAAGCAACATGTGCTTTTAGTTCACTACATATTTTCCATTGCTAAAGTTATAGTTACTCAACCAATTGACATTATTATTGCAAAGAAACAAAGAAAAAATGCTGATGAAATTTAACCAGCAGTATTTAGGGGCATTTAAATTAGACCCAACTTTACCAGTTACAACATTAACGTTATTTACAAATAAATGCATTCTTTTATAATTGATTATCATTCAGAAATGAAATATATGAATCTGAATTTGACCTTTTCCACCACTGCCTGTTTATTCATTACCATTTATTAAGGCCTGGAACTTCACAGCTTGCAGCAGATACATCTGTTTCCTTATCTTCCTCCCAGCCTGTCTCCACAGATATTTGTTTTTCTTTCCTCCAGTAAAGGCCCAGTTAACCACATCTGTGGTTGTGTGGCCAGGCTCTGGTTTCCAACCGCTGAAGTGTTGCAGACAGTTTGGCTCTACATGAAACCGTTACATGACAATTAAAATGGGTGATTGTGCTCCTACAGCCTGTCATGTCCATTTAACCCGACCACAGGAGGCTCTTATGTTCACTCAAGAGGGCACAGATGACCTTCAAGAAGACACCTTATCTCTCCGAGCGGCTTCCAATATTATATCAAGCTTCATGAGCTGCGTAGAAATGAGGAAATCACATGATGTATTTGTATCTGTTTCAAGAAACGGTGACACCATCAATAATGGGCTTTCTTCTTCCTTTAGAAATAATTCAGCTATAGTCACTTTGAAAAGCATACATCATCAATAATGAACTGTTTCATTGCACAACTTTTAAAGATAGTTGGGACATGCTTCCAATAATTTCCATTGCTGGCAACAGTTCAAAAGATCTTTGTGATAATGATGTTACAAAAAAATGTGTCTAATGAAAAGTGTCTGATAGGGCGTGAATGACAGATTTTAAATTAAGATATGCTAGTAGATATTTATTTAGGAAATCATTTGGGTTGTCAGTTTGAAATGTAACAGAACATCCTCCTTTAGCATATCTTGCCTTGTCTTGTTAGCTATAGCTCTTAAATTCAACTCAATTAAGTTCAGTTCAATATTTATTATTTATTTTGTTTCATTTCTTGCTGAGATTTGGATGAAAAAAGTATTACCAACATCGTGTCTGTCCTTCAAATGTGAAGATATAAAACCAACCATCAAACTGGTCCTAAATAAAGCTGCTGTTCCTGTAGCTAGCGTCCCGTTTCCAGAGCATCCCAGCTGGAAACCTGAGCTTTCTTTAGGACGTGGCTGAGTCCTGCCACAGCCCCTCACTCAGAGCTCCCCCTGCCCCGAGGAGGCTTTTAAAGAGCTTTGGAGGGCAAGACAACATCTCCTCCAGAGCATTGTAGTTACATTAGAGCCTAATTAGACGCTGAAGCTCAAGGCCATGTAACCCACTGCTAGGTTTCACACTCGCAGCCATCCATCTCCTCACAGGCAGCACAGGGCTCACTGGTGGAGGGGACGCTCACCTGGGAGCGGGGGCTATAGTAAATCAAAACATCTCCGGGTGTGACAGGAGGGTCACAGATTTTGGGCTGGAGGTTACTAGTGGCTCCTAGGCTTTGTGCTACAGATTAATCATTTGGCAAAGAAATGTGGCATCGGTGTTTTAGAATCAGGCCTGATGAGACTAGGAAATCAGATTGAATTGACCAATGTTGTGCATGAATGACGGTATGGTAGGCTGCATTTAGGTCACATATTTTGACCATAGAGAAAGACTCCATCTAAGGAGATATAAAGAGCTGCCACAGTCGCATATATCTGCAGCTTGGCCATACAAAAAGAAAATGTATGTAGCTCTTAAAACATTTTTGTTTTATTTGAATCTAATGTAGCTATTTGCAGGTTTCTTGCTTGTACATTTGTGTCCTCTTGGTTAGCAAATAATGTAATGTAATTTAATATACGCTGAATTATTGTTTGCTTACGCTCAACTTAATCTTAACGAACTGTTCCATACTTGCCTTTCCTGAAAGACAGACATGCAAGTAAACATTCACTTCAAAATGTAAATTGCTGAAATGGATGTTTAAGTGAAAAAAAGAGCAGCTTTCATGCCACTTGTCAAACTGATGGATGTATGAAGAAGTTGTCGGGGGCAGTCGGTGCAGCGGGGTCATGTTTGAAAAGGTATGGCCGCAGGAG